AGTGTGGGCGCGCTGCCCAAGGCCTTCTCCAGCCCGCGAGCCTTCTGCCTGCCAACATTGTCAACAAAACACGCGCCAAGACACAGAGGCTACGCGTAAAGTCAAACTACCGGAGGGCTTGGGAATCTGCCAGCAGCTCTGACATTTTCTGCTTCAGGCGCGTTTGCTTCTCCGCTGCGGAAGTGGCAAACTCCAGGTCAGCCTCGCTTTTGGACAGCGTGCAACATTGGCAGACAATTGTGTTTTTGAACATTTTGAAGCGTCATCTATATATTCACATGCAAAGAAATGCAAAGGAGAGGTACTGTAATCAACTACCAAACCAACGTTCCCACACGCTTACGAGTGAGGACGCGATTTTCTAACAACCAGCGGCTTCCTTACCAATCACTAACTCAGTTTTGGCTGAGCGTCAAGAGCAGCTTTAAAAACCGCTAGTATGGCGCAGAACCGGCTTTCACTCACTGGCTACTACAGCTTGCCCAATGCCAAGCGTTGCCCGCCTTGCTTTCCTGCCACAACTTCTCTGCCTGAATAAAGCTCTCTGGGCCTGGGCAACACACGCAAATACAAAGGAATCGCAGCGACATACCCCCACCTTCTTCCAAACTGATGTCAACACGTTGGTAAGCGTCAGCGCCCCCTGCATCTGCACCTGGCCTGCACACTCCGCACACACCCTCCAAATTGCCCACGCGACGCACATTTCAGCCTTTTCCCAACAGCTCCAGAAGTCAAGGCCGAACAAACAGCCAGCGCACGGAATGCAAGCATCCACATGACGCCACGCCACATTGTAGTTATACACAAACAAGCTTGCTTGCACCCTAGCTCGCTCTGAGCGCAGCGCGCAAACCATCCAAGAACGCAACTTGGAAAGACCAAACCCAAACCATGTCTCGCAAAAAAGACACAGTCACATCAAGCAAGCAACACTGCCAACCCAGGTATAGCGCAGTTGGGTATTTGCCTTTGCTGCGATGGGCAGTACGGATTCTTAGACCCTTCCCAAAATGTGATCCTACCATCAATCGTCAACCCTTTTTTTGACCCAGGTGGTCATCAGCTCTCAGCTGACGTGAAGGAACTGATATCAGCTCAATCAAGGCTGACAAATCCACCTCAGCTTCAAGCTGACAAATACCGGTTCAAGGAACTACAAAACCTAGAGCAGGCGCGCCGACCTTTTGCAAGATGAAGGGACAAGCCATCCATGCAGGACTCTGCCAACAGGCTTCCCTTCTCCCCTCCCTCTTCCTTAGCTGCTCC